CTGAGACCGACAGGTTATTGTGGCAGGAGGCCAGCTGCCTGATGGATGAAGCCTCAGCTGCAGCCCAAGAAAAAGAAGCAAATAGCCCGGCTTCTTCTGGTGTTCAAAATCTTACTTATCCTCTAGGTCCCAGGAATGATGGTACGATGATTAGATCTTGACTTAATGTGGAGGGCTTTCTGACTCCTCAGCACCTATTCTGCCCAGAAGGCATAAATGTTCTTAATAAATAAAATATCCAGTTAATTTGCTTCGCTTATATACCACAGTTATATAAATCTATCACAAAAAACCTCCACTTATTTAATCAGTTTAGTACATCTAACTTGGTAATGGTATAAGAAAAATAGTCTTAGGCTTGGAGCCAGAAGACAGATTCACATTCTAGCTCTGCTGCTTATCAGCTATAACCATGGATGAGATCCTTAATCTTTCTGAGCCCTGCTTTCTTAATCTAGAAAACAAGGTTGTTAATAATTCTTCTTACCTCACAAGGCTAGAAGACTGTTGAGTTAATGGATGTGAAGCCTCTTGGTAAATTGTCAGGTTCTTTTTAACTTTTAATGAAAACAATAGCAACAATAATAATAGCAATTACCATTTATTGAGCACTCACTGTGCTAGAAACTTGACTGTTTTTAGATCAAGGGTGGCAAACTGGTCAAATCTGAACCACTGCCTGTTTTTGTAAATAAAATTTTGAAACACAGTCATCATGCCCATTTGTTTACATACTGTCTATATGGCTGCTTTCCTGCTATAGTGGCAGAGACTGTGACCCACAAAGCTCAAAATATTTACTTTTTAGCCTTTCACAGAAAGTTTGCTGATCCCTGCTTAGATTAATCCTCCTGTTTCAGATGAAGAAACTGAGGCTTCAAAAGCTTAGGCATAACTTGCTCAGGTTCACACTGCCAGGAGGTAGGGGACTGGGTGGGATTTAAACCTCTCCCTTTCCGGCCAGCGTTCGCTGTTATTTTATATATATCAACGGACAAAAAAACAGAGTGTGACTGCCACCCTAGAGTGCCCCATTACGGAGAATTTATGCAATGAGTCTCTTTTCCTACTCACCCATTTAAGCAGGGTGGAATCTGAGGCATCCTTCAAGAATCAACCCAATTTAATTGCGTCATAGCTGGGGGAAAATCAACTGCTCTAAAGAACTGAATAAGTTAGGTGCCTACTTTCATTTTTAAGAATAGCACTTCGAGTGTTGAAAGCCTGTCTTGGTGATTAAAGCGTTTCTTGCTACAAGCTTGCCCATGGATTGTGTGGAAACGTAGCTCTTTGTAAGTTGAAAATTTATCAGAAGCTCTAGGATATGATCCCTAAACAGGATTTTGGTCTAGATTTTGGTTTCCTTTTCTCTAGAAGCAATGGGGAAAAAATTGAGTGTACTCAAGCTACCAATGAATTATTGTATACAAACTTAAAATACATGAAGGGTGGGAGTGAGACATTAAGTTGTATCTATAACATTTTCTTTCCAATGTAGGAAAATGTTAGCTAGCCAAATCTAGGTGATGTATACATATTGTAGTAACTCTGCTTTGGTATATTTGAAATTTTTCATTAAATAAAAAACATTATTTTAATATTTCAGGAGAACTCCCTATTTAAAAGAATCTTCTAAAAAAAAAGTACAGCTATATAATAAAAACATCAATTAAAAAAAGAATCTTCTGGTAATCCTTTTGAAAATACTTTCCCCTGATTCTCTTCTATATACATCCAGATTTCATATATTTAGTTTTAAGCCTTTTTACATGATGTGGTATTAATACATTTTTAAGTGCTCTCACATACTTTATTTCAGTTGATAGTCAAACCAATCCTGTGAGGTAGGTGGAGTGAACATTATTTTCATTTCACAGATGATGAATCAGGTTTAGAAAAATCAAATAAATTACTTAAAGAAAATGGCTCTTTGGTTATACTAGGACAAAAACTCAGGTTCCATGAATGAATTCTAATCCAGGACCATCTGCACTGGAACTTTTCTTTTGAGAGCAAGACCTGCCTGTTCAAAAAACGGTGTTGGTAATGTTAGGATTCTCCTATGTGTAGTGAAAATGCATTTTTCAGTGAATTTCTAGGAAAAGTGACAATTAGAGACTATCACTATCCTTTCTGGAAAATAACATTTAGAAACGTTTTTTAAGAATGTGGAAAACAAATAGTTTTGGCTAACAGAGTTATCAAGTTCCTTAAATAAAACACAGGAAATATGAGTGTTATTTGGAGATAGAAGTGAAAACAGAAATAAAAAAGCGATGCCTCTGTGAAACAAGACTAGGGAAGGTTAAGCAGTATGGCAGAGGATTGCTTGTTTTCCACAGAAATGCTTCTCTAGTGTTTAATTATTTTTAACCATGTGTGTAGTTTACTTTAAAATTGTTCAGTTGTTCTATTTTAAAGTGTAGGCATTACTGCCTTGATTCTCTCCTCCCCAGCACACACACATACACACACACACACACACACACACACACACACACGAAAAAGTTCAGGGGGATCCAGTATGAGTCTCTAGTTTGTGTTTTTTCTTTACGTGTTTTAGGCAAGAGTTTTTGCGTAAGCATACTTAAAGTTTGGGTTTTTTTGTTTGTGTAATGGTTTTTGTTCTTGTTTTTTTTAAAGAGGACAAGGTTTATTTTTCCCCAGGGCGTCAAGTTATTTTGGTTTGTTTGTATGATCTTTTAGACCTTCCACTTGACTCTCCCTCTCAGCCAGCAAATCTTCAGTTCCCTCACATGATGCCACTTCCTGAAGACATCAAAGGCTCTTGCTTCCAAAGTGGGAATAAACGGAGCCATGAACCCTTCATCGCTCCAGAACGATTTGGAAGCAGCACTGTGGGCTTTGGCAGTAACATTCATTCTCAGGCACCAGAGAAAGTGACACTTCTCGTAGATGGCACACGTTTTGTTGTCAATCCACAAATTTTCACTGCTCATCCGGATACCATGTTGGGAAGGTAATTGATAATAATTTCCTTCCAAATTCACTCTGTTCTCTGTGAATAGAAATACCTGCTATTTGCTTTGCATTAGATTTGAGCATAAAAACATTTCATTGCTTATTTTTCTACCTTCATACTTTTGCGAGACAGAGGACATAAAAACCTTATATGTGTTGGTGATTTTGGGGGGTGGGTACTTTCATTTACAAAGCCAGTATAGTGAAATAAGCTCCCCTACAAAAGGGAGTGCAAAAGGTCCAAATGGTGTCAATTTCTAATGGCTCCACTACTATTCAAGTTTTCTGAAACTGGATCTTTGTATCTGGCTGTTTTGTTTGATGATTGCTCTCTTTATTCTTCGTGTTCCTTCATCTGTGTTCTTCGTTCAGACTATAGTCTTACCCTCCCCTCACCATCTCCTGCCTCCAGCTTTTTAGGGTTAGAGTTCAGGAATGGAAGGAGTCTACTGAGGAGGAGCACTGTCCAGGAAGTACTTTTAGAGCCTGGGCTGGGAGTTAGGAGATCTCTTTCTGGCCAACTGTAGACCTTGACATGAAGAGCAGATTGGGATAAGAGTGAAATCATTTGAGTGATACACACACAAACATTTGGCTTTTGAGGATTTCATCTAGTACTTGAAAGTGGATCTAACCTCACTCCGACTTTGAGCTAATTTGAACTGAATTAGAAATCAGAATGGACCATACTAACTTGCTGAATTTTAGGCTAAGTGGAATCTAGCTGTTCAAATATGTGTGTACTTAAACATATACATACAAATGCATGATGAACCATTTTTAACCAGAGCCAAACCTATATATTTCTTAAACATCTGAATTAAGATAGAACATTAAAACATTTTCTAAATTGGCCCTATATCAGACTTGACTTCATGTCCTCAGTCTTGGTATCGCCACCATTTCCCCCCAGGCCCTTCCAGAAAGGCATTCCTCAGGGTAGGCTGTCTGTCTGAAGTAGGTTGCCTCCAAAAGTAGCGCTCAAGAAAAGAAAAGCAAGCATTTTCTGGGTAATAGACCCCTTTATCTACATGGTTCATCAGCTGAGTCAGCCGAGGTCATGAATTCTGAGTTTCTTAGGTTTGTTCTGTCCTGTGGCTACGTAAAGTATTCATAAGCCTAGCCAGTGAGCTTACAAATGTGGGCCACTGGTCACAAGGGGGACAAAGTAAGAAGCTGAGAATGGATTAATGCAGATCCGTGCCACTACTGGATGAATGACTCTGAGGGGGGATTATATTTATGGCATGTTCACTATTTTGATCCATAGCTGTCTCGGCTACACTTCAACCGGAACATTCCAGAAAAATGTCAGCATCCTTTGAAGACTGCTTTTATCTAAATGGATTTCTTATGTGTGGTGTAGTGATTTGGAAAGCATGTGAGTCTTTTTCAGATCTTGGAAAACAGCCAGTTCAGGGTGGAGGATAACAGTTTTGAACAGTTGGACAGCAGGGCTTCCCAACAGGTTAAGGAAGGAAAAGGCAGTGAGTCCCCAGTGGGCCAGCTGAAGGTACCAGCACCTGCCTGTCCTGGCTTCTCCTTCCACAGCTCCTACACAGACGTGCAGCAGGAGTAGTAGAAGTCATGGGGCCAGTTTTACTGGAGGGGATCTGAGAGAGAGAGGAAGGATGGGAAAAGATGAATGTAAAAGCAAGACTTCCTCCCTGTGCCCTCATGAGCTCTGAATTCATGCCCAGAGCAGGCCTGCCTCTGAAGTATGTCAAATTGCTGATGATCCTAATACCTACCCTCCTTTTCTACTTGACCTGAAATTCCTGTCATTAGTTACTCCTTGGATTGACGAAGAGCATTTTCCCCAGAGTTACGCCATTAAAATCTACCAGGAAAGGGAAAGCAGTAACATCTGCACCTACTAATACAGATTCATCTATCAGATTAGATATTGAAAAGCAAAACTCAGAAATATCAAGGATGGTGTGCTGGATAGGTACATGCTGATGGGTGAGGAGGAGGAGACGCTGTCTTCCTGAGCTGCCAGTGCGTGGGCAGGTTCCTGGGCGCTGCGGAGGGCGTGAGAGGCGACTGTCACGCCCTCCAGACACTTTCCAAGGGCCACCTCTGCAGGTGCTGTTCTACTTTCTTTGCTGTCACAGAAGCTCACTATGGTGGACTGTGAGGGCTTGCTGCTTTGTTCCTCTTGTACTCAAACACTGAAAGCAATTGCTGCCCTCTTTTCCTATCTGAAGGGAGTTTCCTAAGACTTGAGTGTGTCGTATAGGGGTTGAGTCTTAGTGCTGTGTTTTTAACTTACACTGAAAGAGTGGAACGGAGTCTTCCAGAATGAGGTGAAGAAGGGAGAAGTCTCATCTGTGAAGAATCCTGCTGCAGCGGGTAACGTTGTTGCCTGGGTGTCTTTCAGGATGTTTGGACCAGGAAGAGAGTACAACTTCACACGGCCCAATGAGAAGGGCGAGTATGAGATTGCCGAAGGAATCAGTGCAACTGTATTTCGAACGGTGCTGGTGTGTAGTGGCCTTCTTGTTACATCATCTTCTCTGGGGGCGTGCATGGTCAGAAGCCTTGAGAGTTCCATCAGACTGTGTTCTGACTTTAGGGTTTCTCATTTCTAGTTATTGCCTTTCCCACTTTATTTTCTGTTTCTATAATTCTTAAGTCATTCTTGCTCATGTGAGCTCAGTCAGGTATCAAGTTGTGATTAAACATGTCAAGATGGCCAGGAGCCACTTTGCTATTTAATGAGTCACCAACTTGGTGATAGTTCTAGTAACCTACCACTTTAATAGAACCAGGAATGAGTAGGGGGTTGAAGAGGGAATTTTTCATGTTGTTCTTTGCCTACATTTCTTCTTCCTAATTTATTTATAGGATTATTACAAAACTGGTATCATCAATTGTCCTGATGGCATCTCTATCCCAGACCTTAGAGATACGTGCGATTATCTCTGCATTAACTTTGACTTCAACACTATCCGATGTCAAGATCTGAGTAAGTGCAGGAGAAGCTGCCAGCTGCGTTTGAGCAGCTGAACTTTGAGTGTGCTTGGAATTGACATTTTTTATTACTAAACAGAAAGCCTTTCAAGTGTGGGTTGAAAATCATCTGTAGAGGCAGAGATGTGGTACTAACCATTCCCTCTCTTGTTTCAAAGCTCTGTGAGAAGTGGAGTAAACAAGAGAACATGTAGTGGGTTCTAAGTCTAGCTTGACCCCGTGAGTCACCAAGCTAATTGCTTCCCCTCTTGGGACCTTGGTGTCTCAACTCTTTAACAAATAAGGATACTGATCCTCAGATATGAGGGAAGGTTCACTAATAAAATCACACAACATAAATTGGCTGGGTTCTTCTTACAGTTTATCATTATTATTAACTTAGTGTTTAAGTGCTTTATGTATGTGAACTTGCATAAGTTTCACAATTAACCCGTGAAAGATAGGTGATAATCTCACTTACCAAATGAGAAGATGGAGAAATTAGCTTGTTCAAAGCTCTAAACATTAAAGCTGGGATTAGAACTGATTGTCTGAATATAAACTCCATGCACTTATCATTACCTAGGCTTCCTGAAATGATTTTAAAATTCTTTGAAGTTCATGGTACATTTCCCTGCATAGTCCATGAAGTTCTCTAGATGTGTGGTGTCTCTCTGAGTCTAGTACACACTTAGAGCAAGTCTCTTTGTGTCACCAAACTTGATATCATTCCTCTTCTGTGGTACTCTATGAAGTTGCGATCCAGAGCATCTTCAGAAGAGGTACTATAAAGAGTCATCCCCGGGCCTCCCTGGTGGCGCAGTGGTTGAGAGTCCGCCTGCCGATGCGGGGGATACGGGTTCG